CATTTTGAAGCTTAAACCATTAAATAAGATGACGTCACTGGGGCTCTACGGTTGTGTTTCAGGTGCGTGAAGGGTGAAGGTGAGATCGAGAAGCTCCAGGCCAAAGTGGTGGAGCTAAGGAGGAAACTGGATGACACGACGGCTGCCATGCAGGAGCTCGGCAGAGAGAACCAGTCGCTTCAGGTCAGCACCAAAACAGAAATTCTAAAATAATGAGATGATGAAAAAGGGGGCTCTTTACCATAGCGATAAAGTTACACGTTGTCTGATTGTGCCAGCTTCTGTTGATCCCTTTAGATCAAACAGTCACAGAGTCTGACCAGAAAGTGGGCTGAGGATCACGAAGTGCAGAACTGCATGGCCTGTGGGAAAGGCTTCACCGTCACAGTCAGGAAGGTGGGTATGATTTTTGTTTTTAACCCATAAGAGAGCACGTTTGAGTCGTTCCTTACCCTGAGCCTCTCTTCTTCTCTCTGAATGTCCAGCACCACTGCAGACATTGTGGAAACATCTTCTGTGCCGAGTGTTCGTCAAGGAACGCCCTCACTCCATCCTCTAAAAAGCCAGTACGCGTGTGTGAGACGTGCTTCGAGGAGCTCCAAGGCTGATTTTCTTTTGTTTTCCCCCCTCTCATTTCTTTAACCCTACTTACCCGCCCACTCCTACCTCCCCCCATCCCTACCCTACCCTTCCCTTCATCCCTACCCTACCCTTCATCCCTACCCTACCCTTTCTATTCCAATGGGCAGAAGAAGGCATGTCTTTGTCATTTTTAATGTGCACTATAAAGGACAGACGCTGTGCAAAGACTCCCACCTGAATGTGACCTCTGACTCTGGTGTGGAGGGAAACGAGGAAAGGAGTTTCGCTGAGGAAACACCGGAGCCGTGCGATGGGTCGGGGTAGGACTGGTTGGGATTGTCTGTATCTGTTTTTGTGCCTTTGCTACTCCTGTGGACTGCCAGAGAGCGGAGACAGTGAAAATCAAAACACCTACCATTTCTTTTAAGTTCGTATCCCACTAGTAGTTATAAGGCATACGTTGTGAAATGTTTGGCATCATATTTGTTAAGACACTGCAAAAGTGAGTATTGTAAAAGTGATGTTGTAATCTGCCCTGCAAAGGTAAATGCAGTTAACTAGTATTTGCTTTTTATCGCTACAAAGCTCTGCAGCAGGCCCATCACACAGATATGTGAGTTCTAATTTTTGTTGCAAGAAAACTTTTAAAAACTTAAGCGATCTTGCATTTTTTTATACGTCACCTCTCAAAGTGTAAAAACAGACACGCACACACTTAGTTGCTGGCAAAACGAGGCTGCGAAACCCTGTCGGGTTCAGGATTTCAGCAATCTATAAAAAAAAAGTTGTCTGCAACACTGTGCAGTGGAAATAATTAAACATCCTTCTAGGGATTTTTAATCTTAAAAAACAGAAAAACCCTCCGTCAAAAGACTCGTGCACCAACGTGTTTCTGTACAGACCTTCGGATCAGTTACTGCGTGTTTCCTTTGTGCGGCAGAGCGTTTGTGAGTCCGTTGGATTTAATGTATTCATGACCAAAGAATGTGTGCAGCAGGAATACAGCCGAGGTCTAAGCCCTGACTTTGTTTCATTTATCAGTATTTTTCGACGTGTCGTCATTTTTAAGTCACGGGGTTGAATATTTTTATCTTGAAAACGGCATATGTGGCAATCTGAGAGGCTTTTTTTTTACGTGAAGTCGTGTTTTTGTTTTGTTGTGTCCTGTGCCACATTACTCTTAACGTGTTATTTTCTTCAAATCGTGGTGCTTTCTGCAGACTTAAAGGTGCCTGCATGTTAATTTTTTTTTTGTTCCTTGCTGCTTGTCTCCACTCAGCAGCACTGACCTACTGGCTGGAGTTGTGTGTTTTTTGTATGCGTGTTCTGCTTTCAAGCAATAACTGTGGAGGCGTGTGTGTGTGTGTGTGTGTGTGAAGTTGCTGTAACAGAGTGTGTATTTTAGTGTTAGGCCTGCTGTGTATGCTGAAATGCACTGTATGAATGTCGGCTGCTCAGAATCTCAGCTTCTCTCCGGCATGTTGCTCTTGGGGGCTTCGGTGCTGCTTTCAGGAGCAGCGGTTGCTGACGGCTCTCTGTCCAACGTGTCTGCTGCTGAGAACAATGTCAAAGTTGATTCCTGCTTTGTTTAATTTATAATTGTCGATCGCTCCTGGTAAGATCTCTTGTGCAGTTGTCAGTAGACTGGAGAAGGTCACGATGTAACAAGCAGCTTGCTTCAGACTTACTTCGTTAGCTCTTATGCTTGTATGCTCATTACAAAAGAATGTCTGTCTCAGTTGCCATCTTTCGAAAACACCAGTCTTTTTGCTTCAGTGGTTTTGTTATGTCTACCTCAGATTGGCCCAGGAAAAGCACTATTTCTAAATGATAGACATCACAAATGTTGTATCTCTGCCTGCATTCGATGAGGGATTTTGTGACTGATCTATTATAGTGTACAGACCGGAAACTCTACAGAGATGATTTGCACCTTATCGTATTCTGGGCTTGTCCGTATGAGAGCTCAGCTACAAACGTAGGACCACCGACTTTATACAGGCTTCGGCATTTCTAGCACCGCTGTACTCAACTGCTCATTAATACTAAGGCTGTCATCTTTGTAAATGTTTGTAATGAAAGAGAAAAATAAAATCTATATAACACTCGTGGGTGTAGAAACATGATAACGGTGAAACTGTGTGTGGATTCATCGGTGTCTTACTCATTTTTACCAAACGGCACCACAGACGTGAAGACACTGAATTGTGGCTTGCTTTGTGTTGCTCTCACTTATCATGCATGATGACTTTACTGGCCTGTGGCTCACACGTTTCTCCATTGTTTAGTCATCATATTTGGCGGTTGTGAAAGTGTGTTTTCACGCAAACATCCTGCACGTCGCCGCTCGCCTTTAGCAGCGTCGACGTGACTTTGGCTCACTGAAGCTGGATGAGGGAAGTGATTTATGTTCACGTGCACCAGATGATTTTTTTCTAATTGTCATGGCAAACGTAAAATAAAACCTGCAGTATGTTTGTATCTTACTGTGTCATGTTTTTGTCGCTTTGCAGGAATGATTCTCGAAGCCTCTAAAAGCGCTGAAGTTTGAGAAATGCACACAGCACCAACAAACAGCAAATGACTGAAAGAGCAAATCACATCTGAACCCGATGTTCATTCAATGAACATTTCCCACTACACTGATTAATCGAGTCGTTTTTTAAATGAATTCTGGATGTTCTTCCATGCTGTCTCAAATATCGAGTCCATGCAGTGATAAAATACAGAAAGTCTGAAACCACCCCTCATTTCTTTATATTTTGCTAATTTCTGAAGGTCTTTCAAAGTTTTCCTTTGGATACAGGTTGCTTTTTCACTAATTTTCAGTCCTGTCCTTGAACCTGACAATTCAGACAATTTTTTATTTTTTTGTTAAGCAACTTAAGAGTGTGCTATGAATCATTCAACCATAAAAAGGGCTGAACCAGTGTAGTATCTACACCTAGCAGACTACTTGGAACTTGAAATATCTTGGATGCTGTGCAGTATGTCCTTAAAAAGATGAGTGGATGACAAAAGAAGAACAGATGGAAAATCCAGCAAATACTGGATCTGGCACTGGTCTCAGGTGAAGGGTGGCTGTCAAGAAGTCATTATTAAGGAAGGCAAACAGATAGAAAACGAGTGGTAACGGGTCTTGAATCCAAATTTTCTTTTAGTTTATACGTATTGATGACAATTTGAAAGGAGGTCAGGGAGAGAGGAGCAGCAGTGAAGGTCCACAGCCATCTGTAAACCACGGTGGAGGCTGCATTTCAGCCAGTGGTGTCTGAGATCTTGTCAGAATTAATCGTAAATGTATTATAAATGCAGGAAAATACCATCACCACCACCTGCTATGCAATAACACCTGGAAACCATCTAATTGGCAACGGCTTAATTTTTCAGCATGACAATGATACATACTGTCAGTGCAGTAAAACCATACCTGGATATAAAAACAAAGCTGGACCTCAACATTACTAAAGCAGTGTGGGATCGTCTGCACAGAAAATGAAACAAAAGTGAGAAACATCCAAAGAAGAGCCTTGAATGTCTTTCAAGAAGCCTGGAGAACTGTTCCTGAAGGTCTGTAAGAAGTTACAAAAAGCGTGCCTAAGAGATCAAGCTGCAGTGGTCATACTAAACTTTCAAACTCTTTAGAATACACCTATATCCAATTTTTAAAATATTAAATAATTAGGGGTGGCTGAAGACTTTTGCACAGTACTGTATGAAGCACTATGAAACATCAGAAGTGATCAATAGCTCACAGACAATTTAAAAACTGCGTGAAATGATGTGTGGAACGCTAAACCCAACGTTTTACTACATGATGAGATGTTTATTTTACACTACTGTAGCAGCTGCCTTCACAGGCAAACCGTTTACAAAATCATCCTAGTGCTAGTGCAGTCATTTACAAGACATCAGGGGGCAGTGAAGTGCACATTAACAGTAGAAACGTTTTCACATGGCTTCTAGTTCTGCTTGATGGGTCATATCTGTGAAGACTCCAGCCACAGCGAGGAGCTCTTTACTCGTGCCTGCTGAGAGTCCTGCTTCAGCAGCGCCGTCACTGCGCCCTCTATCTTTGACATCCATACTCTCTGGTGGGGAAAAAATGTTTAGAAAGAGAAATATCAGATTTACCAGTTTGAATAACTGGTAATATTATAAATTGTATAGCTTATTATTTCTTTGTTGCTGTAAGCTGTCCTAAACAGCTTCACACAAGTAAGATGAAACAATACAGCAATTTATTTTTATTTTCCTATACATTGTTCATCTAAACCAAAATAACAGAAACCTTTAAAAAGATTAAATGTATAGCTATGAATTTTTACTATAAATAAATCTGAACAGACATGCATACAAACTGAATTTAGAAATCATTTAAAATATTTTAGCTTCACTTTCAGGGCTCTGTAGAGTTCACATCTCGCACTGATGTTTTGCACAAGGCAGAAATGTTTGGATAAACTTATGACACATTGTTCTTCTGAACATAATGTGATCTGTGTCCTGCATGCTCTCTTTGGAAACATTTCAGGTATTCACAGTTGAATTGATCTACCTTGACAGCCTCTGACGCAGCTTGCAGGATGAATGCACCGATACACTGTTGGTAGCGGTTCTGGTGCATTACTATGAAAGAATGAGGCAACCCCGATGCTGTCAAGAAAGTACAAATGCTTTCATTTAATAACACCGATGCACCACATGGCATGCAAACATAAACAGAGAGACGTGACCCAGAAGGCTATTTTGATTCTGTTGACTGCTTTGCTACGACGTGCTACAAACGTGTGTTCTATTAAAAATGGGTTCAGAGCTAGAAAACTCAATTCGTTGAATCTTAAAAATTTTACTTACAGGAGGCATTAAGTTGATCGATGTTTCTAAGTTGGAGTCGATCCAGAGAGATTGGCTGGTCGAGAACCGTGAAGGTGCATCCCTCCTTCAGCATCTGATCCAGCTCCAGGTTTTTCAGAGGATTCTGCTCTGGACCTACGGACCTCTGCACAGGATGTCAGGACATTTATATGAAGTTATGAGGGATATGTAGTTAAGGCATCCTTGCACTAAATATCTATCACTAGCCTAGGTTAGAGTGAGCAAAGGTTATAGAGTGACCCACCTTCTTGTTTCTCTTCATCTTTGTAATCAGCAAGAATTCATCAAAGAGGAACATGTAGACATCTATGAGCTTTGCGTTCTCTGGGAATTAACCACAGAAAGATGACGTAAAGTTTTTAGTCGATTCGAAGCAGGAAGCGTGTGAAATGTGTTGGATTTATGCCAGCTGACACACCTGTGAGGACGAGTTTCCCTTCGTGCAGCAGACTCCTGTGAGAAATCAGATTATCCAGCGTGACAGCCTTCAGAAGATGTTTCAGATTCTGAAAGAAAGCAGTGAGTCACATTAGAAAACATTTTCACCTTTTAGTGCTTTTCAGACACATTTGTCTTTCCATTAATCTGACAGCAACTCAGCATGTTGGCTTCTGAATGAGCACCCTGGCCCTCTACTACTAACATGTACATATCACTTTAAGCATAGCACGTCTTAACTGCATACTATTGGATTAATAAATACGTATGCGCATGATAGCGAAAGAGCAAGTCACTGGTGTCTAATTTAAGATGCATCTTTGGTATTTCAAATCCAGATGAGCTGTCTGTGTGAGGGCTACAGGTAGCTGCTGCAAACAGGTAGCACACAAAAACAAACACGTTCACATAAACAGATGACAATGGCGGAAAGAACTAAATGTTCAAAAATGTGGTCACGTTTAACTACGGTTACATGCTGACACTACCAGTACCACGGGTGCAAATAGGTATTGTCAGCACTGATGATAGTTAAATGCTCACAATACTTATATGCAACAAGTCATTTACATGTATGACTTACACATCGCAGCTCTCTACCACTGCTATCTGTGTTCTCTTCAGTTCAGGTTTGTTTATATAGCACCATATCACAATAGCCCTCCTCAAGGCAATTTATACTTTACTATATAACTTACAATGTAAAAGCAAAGACTACAACAATTATACAGTCCCCCTATGAGCAGGCACTTAGGAAAAGCTTTCTGTTAACAAGAAGAAACGTCCGGATCAGAACCAGGCTCACTGAGGGGCAGCTATCAAGGAACTGGTTCATGGTGAGGAGAAAGAGAAGAAAAAATACTGACAGGACAAAACATAAATTTTGGAAGAGAACGCGTGTCACAGTGTATGACAGGAAATCTCCCAGAAGCATGTAGCAGCAAAACTAAAA